TAGTGAATGTTTATAGTATGCAGTTTTTGAATGTGAATTGTACCAATATGAACACAATGTAACATCGTAGAGGATAGTATTGTATGTTTCACAACCACTAAAGCTGTGTCAGCCACTGCAGGTTTGCTAACAAACGTCAAGAAATAAAAAATGCTTACATTAAATATTCTGAAAGGTCTGCTAGTTTCCGATTTTGGTGCACAACAGACCTCTCATCTGAATCTGGGTCTGACTGAGACTTTCCTTTTATATCTTGATGCACATTGCTCTGTCACTGTTCAACCTAATGCAACAGTGTCAGAGGAGGTGGAAAGCAAAAACAAAACCTACAACCTGGGCAGGGCCTGAGGCCAGATTCAGAATTTCTCGATGAGGGAGATAGTTTTTTTTAAATTTTTTATTTGGGAAAACCATGTTTAACAAAATTATTAGTATATAGATTTTAACATACTTTGAAACATGTCTGGAGGGGGACTTTAAAGTCTATCATTACCATGCTGATATTGTGAAGTCATAGAATTACAGTGTATGTATTTAACCAGGTTTATTTAACTGAGTGACCGACCTTGTTAGATTAATAAAATTGTGTTATTTTTCCTTGACTTGAAGATTGAAGTGTGAATGTTAATGAGTTTAAGTATTAAAATGAAATATGAGTCACTTGATAGGAATGATGCCACAAACCAACACTGTGTGTGTGTGTGTGTGTGTGTGTGTGTGTGTGTGTGTGTGTGTGTGTGTGTGTGTGTTTGTGAAAGTAGAGAGTCTGCAGCTTCTGCTTTCCTCTTTAGTATTAAACACTCAGCAGTTTACAGTATAGTGAGCAGTAGATTAAGATTTCAGACACTTATAAATTATCATCATAAATATAATTCATACATCTACAGTGCAGCGTGTAGTGCCTGCTGCTGGAGCTTTTGATCATATCACCTGGTCTTCATCAGCAGATGGAGTTTGTCTAGTTGTCATGAACTTTAAGATTTTCACATTGACATTTTTCAAGCAGTATTAAATACATTGCTAGCACTGGGTTGGACCCCTTTGCCTCAGAACTGCCTTATTTCTTCATGGCATAGATTCAATAAGTTGCTGGAAACATTCCTCAGAGATTTTGGTCCATATTGACATGATAACATCACACAGATGCTGCAGATTTGTCAGCTGCACATCCATGATGTGAATCTCCCGTTCCACCACATCCCAAAGGTGCTCTATTGGATTGAGATCTGGTGACTGTGGAGGCCATTGGAGTACAGTGAACTCATTGTCATGTTCAAGAAACCAGTTTGAGATGATTTGAGCTTTGTGACATGGTGCGTTATCCTGCTGGAAGTAGCCATCAGAAGATGGGTACACTGTGGTCATAAAGGGATGGACACGGTCAGCAACAATACTCAGGTAGGCTGTGGTGTTTAAACCATGCTCAGTTGGTACTAAGGGGCCCAAAGTGTGCCAAGAAAACACCCCCCACACCATTACACCACCACCAGCCTGAACCGTTGATACAAGACAGAATGGATCCATGCTTTCATGTTGTTTACACCAAATTCTGACCCTACCATCTGAATGTGGCAGCAGAAATCCAGACTCATCAGACCAGGCAACGTTTTTCCAATCTTCTATTGTCCAGTTTTGGTGAACCTGTGTGAACTGTAGCCTCAGTTTCCTGTTGTTAGCTGACAGGAGTGGCACCTGGTGTGGTCTTCTGCTGCTGTAGCCCATCTGCTTCAAGGTTGGACGTGTTGTTGGTTCAGAGATGGTCTTCTGCAGACCTTGGTTGTAACCAGTGGTTATTTGAGTTACTGTTGCCTCTCTATCATCTTGAACCAGTCTGGCCATTCTCGTCTGACCTCTGGCATCAACAAGGCATTTTCACCCAGAGAACTGCTGCTCACTGGATATTGTCTCTTTTTGGGACCATCCTCTGTAAACCCTAGAGATGGTTGTGTGTGAAAATCCCAGTAGATCAGCAGTTTCTGAAATACTCAGACCAGCCTGTCTGACACCAACAACCATGACACGTTCAAAGTCACTTAAATCACCTTTCTTCCCCATTGACTCATCCTGCACTCAGGGGAGTTTATAAAAGTTCACCCAATCAAATGAGACTTTGGGCGACAAGTTAGCCACACTGGTCATAAAACATGCTTCATTGTTTTTGGGTTCTGGTAGCTAACAGAGCAATATGATGAGAGATGTGTGTTTGAACATCAATGAGGAAAAACCTTTGTCAAACTCAAAGCCTGCCCACTTTCAAGCAATCCAAACAAATGCAAAGGATTTGATTTAAATTCTTCTTGTAACTGTACACTACTCAAATATTCAGTTTCACTTGGAAGTTTGTCACAGTACAAAACCGAAAGACTGTACCTTCTGTTTCAGGAAGACTTTAAGCTTGGGTTTGAAGTTTATTCTTGACTAACAGCAATTAAGGAAAAACAATCTTATTACAAGGTCCATTGAGCATTCAGTAGCACTTAATTCAGAGATACTTCCAAGTATTTCAGAGACATTAGTTGTATTCGTATTAACTTTGTCCATTTGAATGTTAAATGTTAAAAATTAGGAGCTCAAATATAAACGCTCATTAACGTTACACATTTCTGTTACACAAAAGGGCGCTCCGCTAATAAAGACTTACTGCTGTTTTTTCTTACGAGCTAATTGTACCTCACTGGCACCTGGTTGACCCTCGTGTATCTCCAGTCATGGCTGCGAGATGAGCACAGGTTTTCATGTCTCATTAACAGAGATGTGAGTTAATGCTGAGGGACGCCAGGCATGACAAATCCCCCCTCGTCCTTGGATATATGTGTATATTCGCCCACTCATTTAATTAAATAGCCCCAGCTAGCCACCATAACCGGGCTGTTCATTAAACCTGTATCGCAGACACAGAGAGCCAAAATGGAACCTGATCCTAATCAGAAGTGAAGGACATGATTTCCGGCCTGGATTCTTGGAGTTATTGAAATATAAATGTATGCTGCATATTTGGCTCGCTCTGTGTATATATGTTTCAGATCTTTTTTGAACCAGATGCCACAGCTCAGAAAAGGAGACTCTTTTATGTTGCTTGGAGGTTTGTTTTGATTGTTTTAATTTGACTGGGGCCATCATTTCCCGGCAGCTGTATGACCTTGCATGTGCAGAATATAAATCCCCCTTTTGATCATCTCCATATATAACCGTGTGTACGTCACTATCCACAGTGCATATGCCAACCAACGCCCTTCCGCCCCTCACACGCGCCCCCCCAGCCCACTCTCACGTGACACTATATATGAAATGGTTTGTTCATCTTGTTAATATGCTGCGTCTAATGATGCATATGAAAAGCAATCAGTGAGGCAGCAGAGGATCTGCTTGAGGAGCAGCGTTAATAACTAAGGGAAGCAGGAGATTGCAATGCCCCCGCTGGCTCCACAGACACATGTACAGCACACATAGTACACACAGGAAATTCACAATCTGCTGCATTCAGCAGTCGGTTTTGCCACACACTTAATTTTCCTCATATGACTTGGTGGTTTAGTTGAGGTTAGAATGGGTGCACACATCTTTTTCTGTCTTTTACGCGTCACTTTGTTCAGAGGCTATATCTCTCTGTGTTTTCCACATATCTGTTAGCATATACTACATGGCACCAGCTCTGTGCGTGTGTGTGTGTGTGTGTCTCGGATCAGTATATGCTGTAACCTGGCTGTGTGCAGTGTATAGAAGAGCAGCTTAAATAATTTACTCACCGCCCATCGGAGCCGAACGCACTTTCACACCTTCCCCAGCAGCAACAGCTCCATCTCTGCATCTCAGCCTCCACTCGCACCTAATGACATCTGATGGGCGATAGTGTAAACACGGATAAATGTGTTACTTAATCTCTTCTCCTCATTGTGCGTAATTTCAAATGCAATTGACATGAGCGCAATACGCGCTGATGATGAAAGGTTTATGATATAAATGCAAAACATTACATAATTTATCGCAGCCTCTGCCTATGGTGCATTGCTCAGTCAGCGCAAATCCTACAGAGGAAAAACCCCATGTACATAATTTATGTGAGCAGTTGAGCACGGGCCTCGGATAGCAGGGCTGCTTTGCTGGTTAACACACTGATTAACCACATATTTAGTCTCTTTTTTTTATCAAAATCTTACTTGATAACTTAAATGTTTTGAAATAAGCAAAATATGAGGAGGATTAATATAATATGATGCACATGCAGCTGTTGGGATGGCAGAGTAAGCTGTGGCTGTGGATTTTATTTGATTTTTAAACGAGCTTTGGTCGACTATTTCACTCTATAATCCTAATAGTTCATTAGTGGGAACAATTCTCTGAGGCGTTAAGATTAGTAAGACTGTGCTGCTCTTTGGTGCTCCTTCAGTGCTGTAGTTTAAAACTGTAATTTTTTGGATTGAAGCCCAAACAGCTCTCCAGTTCGACTGTGGAGGCTTTTCATCAACGCTGTTTTTCTCTCAGGCTAGTTTGTCTGTGTTAAGCATGAGAATCTCCAGCGCTATTAATGCCAATTTATTACCATCTTCCTCATCCTCACAGTGCAGTCTGTGCCCTTATTAACAAAGATACAATGCTGTTTTCATTTGAGGATGGAGGAGACGAGCATGTTGTGCTCTCCTCAGCTGTGTTTTGACTGATGTGGGCGAACAAGGCATGACAGGTCCTCCCAAATTGAAATGTCAGCCATCACGTTAATTCCACAGAATCAGTGTAAGAGAGGAAGAGGACGGGGGGCAGAGAAATGTTTTCACCAAACGCATGACCCCTCCTGCCCTCTCCCTTTCTTGTTTTAATACCCCCCCCTTTTTAATTTTTCATTTACCACAGCATCTCCAATTATTCCACATCGCCATCCTCTCCCATTTCCACGTTCTACCTCTCGACCAGACACTCACCACCACCCTCTCTCCCCCTCCCTCTCCTGTCCTCTCTCTCTCTCTCTCTCTCTCTCTTCCCCCCTCTCCCTCTCTCGGTTTCAGTGAGATGAAGCAGGAGCTGGCGGAGGAAGGCAGCAGATGCTCCATCCTCTCCAAGCAGCACCGCTTCAACGAGCACTGCTGCATCCGCTGCTGCGCGCCCTTCACCTTCCTGCTCAACCCCAAGCGCCTGTGCCTGGACTGCCAGTACAACGTCTGCAAGACCTGCTGCACCTACAGCAAGAGGGACAAAGCCTGGCTCTGCTCTGCGTGCCAGAAGGGCAGGTTAGTGTTTTCACACACATTCACATACACGCCGGCGGCGGCAGCGGCGGAGACGGGAGAGATTAGAGTAATGACAGAGGGGAATGAATGGGGACGAGAGATACGAGAGGAGCTGTGAATTGGTGAAGTGGAGGGTGCTGAAGTGGGGAGGGAATTGGGATGGAGGGAAAAAATGTGGCATGTGAGGGGGGATTGAGAGTGTTGAGGGAATATGGGCACTGAAGGAGACAGATGTGCGGGGAAAAAGTGAATGGATGAGAGGGAAGGCAGGACTTTGATGGAGTCAGCACTGCAGGGATGGGTGGCTTTAGGATTTTGTTTGATTTGTGTTTTTGGACATCCAACTCTTGTTTCAATATCTCATTGTAAAAATGAGTTTTCAGCTTTGTTGTTCTGCCTTTTAACATGGTAGTTAGAGAGCACAGGAGGAAGAAAATGGGGCCATTAAGGGAGATAGTAATGAAGAGGGGGGAAGAAGTGGGGAGGAAATTGAGGGAAACGTCTAAGTGATGTGTGTGTTGGGGTGAAATGACAGTGTGTACACCTCTGGAAAAACATACGGACAAAAAGGTGTAGGCAGGGCAGGGCTGGGAGGATGGATAATAATAATGCATGTTTGAGTTTTGTCAGTTTTTTTGCCACGCAACTCGAATTTCTTGTGGAAAATTGTTTTCTTGATCTTTTTTTAATTTCTTCCTGCTTGTTTACAGTCCCTGCTTACAAACTAGATACCAGGGAACATATGTTTATGATTTATTGAACACGAGAAAACAATCTGAGGGAGCCGAAGAGGCAGGGGAATGCACTACAGCTGTCTGAATTTGCATGTGTGTTACAGATCCGTGTGTGCGCATGTGTATGTGTCAGTTACGGCTGTTTAGGCATGCATGTCTGTCCGAAGCCTTGGGAGTTGTTCTACTGCCCCGACTCACCATTGGATGAATATTAAGCGCTCTTTCTGTCTGGGCAGCGAGGGTGGGAGTGTGTGAGTGTGTGTTTGTGGTGGATTCATTGCAAAATCAATTGCGAGCTTGGGATATTAGATGAGCCAATATGCGTGACACGTATACATATCACTGTAATGTGTCTCCTTAAGGGTTTATATGAGGCACTGCCATTGCTTTGAGTCATGTTTGTCCTACCTGAGCTGCTCTTGGTGCCAGTGTCCTCCTATAAAAATATGAAATGCTGCTCCACAGGTCCTTGGGTGTGATTTAGCAGCATATTTACAGTAGGGTGCAATATCACAGAAAGCTAAAGGACAGAGACGCAGGTGAGTCGATAGTGTGTTTTGGATTTTCAGCCTGTCTGTGTGTGTTAAGGTGGAGGTGGATAGGATTGCAGAGCCCCTCCGCTTGGCCTTATTTCTTCCCCTCAATCCCACAGCTCTATCTCTTTTTGTCTTTCATTGATTTTTGCTGCGCGGTGTATTGAGTTAGACCCGCTGCCCCGAGTCCTGGTGTATGAGACAGGAGGGAGGAGGAGGAGGAGGGAGGAGGGAAAAGGGATGATGGCAGTCAAAAGAGGTGGCAAGGTTTGCATCGATCATCTCTTCCCTCGCACTCTCCTCCCGCTCCTGTCTCTCTGTCTTCCCCTGCGTGTGTCTCCCTGCCTCGGGCTCAGTAATGTTCTCATTAGGGGTTTAGACTGAGTCACAGATGGGCCCGATGTCACAACATCGCTGTCTACCAGCTACATATAAATACAGCACTTTTCATTAGCGCATTAAAAGGGCTTAAATCTGGTTTTAGCATGAATTACTCTCTCTCCCGGGTGGAGTCGTGTCAGTTGGAACGGTGATTTACAGCTTGGTCAAGTGTTGGAGCTGGAGGCTAGAGGCACCCTGAACATTATTTTGGAAATAGCTATTAGTCGACTATTGGAGTGGATGATTGCAAAGAAAAGGAATTGATTTGATGCTAAACAGACTGTATCTGTTGGGAAATAACTGCAGCGCGAAGAAATGCTATCTAAAAGAAGAGTTTAAAGAGCAGTCGCTGCACAGTAAATGCAGCGCTAATGAAGTCTTTTTTTTTTTGTCACTTACAGTGTTGTTAAGAGAGAATACACAAAATGAAACATTATTACTCCGAGTCAAGCCAAAAAAAAGCTTCATTCATTCACAATAAATCTGTAGATCTGTATCTTCTCCTGGACGTCAGCAGTTTTTCAGCCATTTCTGAGGGAATTCTGCCGAATCTAAATGCAAAATCATTTTGCAGGAGGGAACAGACCGCCAAATGGTCTCACTCACATGCACCGGCTGTCCATCAACATTCACAGTGGCACGGCCACTCTGCTCACAAGCGCGATCCGTCTACGGAAAGCAGATTTGTAATCATCGCACACATGGACACACTCAGAGGCTAAAGTCACCCACTCACACATGGATGCCCATAAGAATGTAATGGATGCATGTACATCTAAGCAGACGCATGCCTCCAAGTGAGCAGGCATGTGAGCGCATACGTACATTATATGGCGGTTAATTACATGAATGAGCAGATGGAGTTGAGACGGACGCTGTCACTGATCAGTCGAAGGTTTCGCTTTCTGTCAATTGATCCGAGATGTTTGTGTGTTGCTGACAGATGGTGTGTAAAAAGAAAAGACTCAGTGAATCAGCGGCTTTGTCATAACACCTTCCTGGTCTTGTAAATCACACACACACACACACACACACACACACACACACACACGCAGCAAACACAGCTTTCCCCTCCTGAGCGAGTGGGACAAGCATGACCATTTGCAGTCTGGTAGAATTAACAGCATCCTCATCCCTCGGTCAACAAGCACTAAACACACACACACTCTGCACAGTCACACACACATGATGCTTCGATGAGAGTTGTCAAAACATTTTCAGTGGAAACTGAGAAGTCATTTTTTTTCCTGTTGTGGCTCCACACCCAACGCAGCGGGGAGAATGTTAAAGGGGAGCGCAGGAGATGGAGAAAGATGAAGGTCAGGAGTGAGAGGAAGAGGGGGAGGGCAGGAGGATGAAAACGATTAGGAGAGGGAATAACAGAGGCGTTGTCCCAATTATCCGAGAGGGGAAATGCCATTTAATTCTTCTTTTGTTTTGACCCTCACGTTGAGTTTTTCCTCTTTTATTTCCCTGCTTCTCCCCGTCTTTTTATTTTTTGGTCCTTTTTATATTCAAACACTCCGTCTCTCTGTCACATTCCCCCTTCTCTCTCTCTCTCTACCTGATGAAGTCTCCATTTTCCACATTTACATTTGAGCTGCTGCACCTCTCTGTGCTTAATCTGCACAAATGGACGGCTGTGTACCTGTCTGTGCAGTCCGCAGGCCATAGAATGATGTACTTCTACAGTGTGTGTGTGTATGCACAGAAATAACAATACACTAAAGTGACAAACTGTTCCTACCACTATATGGCCTTCATAATCTCATCCTAAAACATGACCGTGAGGAGATTATGGCATCTGCTGCCGACCTATACTGTACCATACACACACACAAACAGAAGAAGAACAGAACAAGCACATGCAGGCTGCACACACCCTTACTGGCCATATTAATTCGGTTTACTTAGATTGGCGTTAAATTCCTTTTTAGATATTGTAATCAAAGTGTTAATTCTCCACGCATGGACACACATCATTGTACAACACTCTGTGAGTAAAGAGCCACATAAGCTCTCTGTCCACATAAACACACAAACTGCTGCAGTTAAAGTGCAACATTAACCGTCTGTCTGGCGCTGTCATGGCGGTGTGACCACGTAACTGACAGCCAGCCACACGCTCAAAGTCCACCTTTAATTATTCGGTTGGTTCTTTGCGACGGGGCTGCTTTCTTTTAAAGGACAAGCAGGAGCTGATTGGCTCTGCAGCCTCGGGGCCCACGAACCGACAAGCACGTACTCTCTAGTCGTAGCGGGAGCATATAGTTTATGGTAATAGTTTGTTTAACATGCAACCACATGGATGCACACGCTCACATTTGCAGACATAACATGCATGTCATTCATTTATATCACAGTAGCAGCTCCTGTCACTTTGTCGGAGACTGTGAATACTTAATGTTGATTTTCACCTAAGAGGAGAAGTGAATGGATGGTTTTTACCGTATAAACAGGATTTATACTTCAACAGACAATCTGCCAGTCACAAAGCATGTTTAATAGGTGTGTTTATTTTGTGCTGCATGACCTATCTAGATGATTCTGTAGTTTTTTAGTTCCTAGTCCTCCCCCTTTTCACCCTCGTCTTCATTTTACTGATTAATTTTGTAGATGCTTTATTGCTTCAATGAATCTACTTGCAGTTTAATGCTACTGTTTAACACTGAATCCTTGTAAGGAAAACAGATCCTATAACTCAGCCACAATCTTTTTTGGCATTGCTTCTGTAACAGTTAAAGTTATGTGCACATTTGTACTGTGTTTGGAGATTTAATGCACATAAATAATAGTGTTGAGAGGCAGGAAATGAACCTTGGACTGCACAGTTTCCATGACCCTTCACCTGCCTCCATACTCAGAGCTCCACACAAAGGTGTGCATTTTGCTTCTGTGCTTGTATATTTATTTTAATATCTCAAAAATCCCTCAACAATAGCAGTCTGTGTGTTTATAAAGACACCGGTGCTCTAAACTCCATGAACTCTTGTTGCTGTCAGACAAGCACCTGCGGCTAGGAGAGGCAGAGAGTCACAGTGTGATCTTTTTCTGTCCTCCTTGCGGGGGTATTTTTATCAGTGCGGGTGAGCAAGACTAGTCTTAGACAGGGAGGATCTGCCCTACAGCACCGGGCTGCAGATGAAATACGTGCACCCCGCCACAGACATCTCCGCTCTAATAAGGCATTTACATGTCTGGGTCTGTTTGCGTCCCGCCGCTTGTTCGCTCTGTGTTTTTCTCCGTTTTTTAGCAGATGGACGGACAATGGATTGCAGGACTCATTGTTGTGTGTTTTTCCAGCAAGCTGCAGGCCCCGCTGGATGAAGAATGGAAGTCTCCCCTCTCATTC